TTCCTAGTCACCGAAAGATAGTATCTAATTTGCATTGGGGATAGTACAAAAACTTTGCACCTTGGGCAAAATAAGTCAACGACAATAATGTCTTTAATTGGCCGAGTAGATGATATGAAGAGATTATAGCCTTCGCTATGCTCTGTGAAAGTTAACAGCTACAATTGAAGTCCACAAAAGTTACCCTTTCGAAGCAAATGTTGCTTTTTTTCATGCAAAAATACAGTAACATTAGTCAAGTCTGCTCATGACTCCACTTTGTATACACTACCTTCGTACATTGCGATCTAAACACAAAAGGCCTCGCAGCCCCTGGTCATTATTCAGTTTGGTAGCAAACAAAAAAGAGAGAGAGAGATCCTTCCCACTAGTCTTTCACTGCTAAATTAGGGATGGTTAGCGCATATAATCCTTGTGTAGCTTTCCGCGAAATTCAAAACGAACCAATTCACAAAATTGTGTAACACCATGTTAGCCTGACATCTGATTATTTCACTTTCTTGAATTTGGAGATAAATAACTGATTTTTTTAAATCACCACAAACGGCTTTGAAGATTGTGTTTATTTTCGAAATAACAGGTTACGGTGCGGTAAGTATTTTGTTGATGTTTTAAGTATTTGTATTGCATACTGGAGGAATTTTTGTATATAAATTTATTGCCAAAATATTGTCTCAACGAGAAGTCTTCAAGTTTGTGATGCTAAAAATCGGGCTTTAATACCCATTGTGGGCAGAGCACAGGTAGCCCATTATGTAGCTTTACGCTTCACAACAACCAAACTAAATATTTTTGGAAGACTGTGTTTATTATATAAGTTTCATGCATAAGCTGAATTTCTAGCTAGAACGCTCGTTAAAGGTCATTTGCGAAATATTTGTGCAATTTACCAATTAAGCTAAGTGATTTTGTAATGCCTCCACATCCTCAATACAGTTTTAAATACCTAAGATTAGTTAGAGTACATATGGTGGCTAATATACTAATTATACCCCTATATGTACTCCCTTTTTTTTATTGCTTCATGAAATATACATCCTTAAAATATTACGTCATTATACGTAAGAGATTTCCCCACAACGTAATAGACGCCTAAGACACTTGCAGTTTTATATAATTACGCATTAGTGTTGTTGTCGGGTTTGTAATTAAACATTACTTTTAATATTTTTGAAAATAAAAGAGTATATTTCTGTCATTCTTTAATTGTTTAAGAATTGATACATATTCAAGTAAAAAGTCATAAATTTATAATGCTTCGTGTTGTAGTTCAGCTCAAGAATACAGTGATAAGGTCAGTAAATGAATGACGTAGATATTACAAAATCAGGATTGGCTTTGTTATAAGTGTGTACGTAGCCAATTCAGAATCAGATCTAAAACTTTGTAGTTAGTGTTTTGGAAGTTAAGGTAAGGCCTTAATTCTTTATGTTTTATTTTGTTGCATAGAATATTGAATAAGCCGACAATTATTTAGGTTTTTCCAAAAACAAGTTGAGGTCCAAATTCATTTTATTGTGAACTTACGATTAAAAAGTCTTAGGAATAGGAGACAGAAACGTAGGTTCCAAGACTTGGCTTAAGCCTAACGGCTGGCTAGACTGAGAGAATCAGTTAATTGTTAACAGGTGCAAATTTAATTGAACGTCAGCAGTTGAACTTCTAACGTCTTATAAGTTCGTCAAATCATTATGATGTTTTGAACTAACAGTTGGCTCCAATATTTGCAAATTATTCAGTGGATCGGGAATAGTGGAAGCCTCGAGTAGAACTTCAGTTCTGCTACTACTAGTAGTATAGAACAAGTGAAACAGAAAAGTAACTGGAGGATAAGTTGGCGATACAATTGCATTGAAAGTTCAACTAGTCCAACTTTGATCACTGTTGCTGTTAGTTAACCTTACGTAAACGTATCAATACAAAGAAAGGAGCCATTTGCCAACATTGTTTCTGTCAATATACAGTAGTGAGTACAGAGTATGTTATTATATATGTATTAAACTATAACTTATAAGCGAAGTGCAATTCTAGTGGTATAACATTTACTTTGAGGTATAAAACCAAGTTGGACGTGAACGTTGTTGCAATTACCAACAACTGAGGAACACAAGCCATCAAAATATTTTTCAAGCTTTGGTAATAGAAAAAAAGAAAGAAATTGAAATGATTTTAAATAGACTTGTTAATGATAGGTTGGAAACTGAATACCTCTTGGACATGATTTCTAGTGTTTCCAGGAAAAAAAATAGACAAAGTAATGACTTGAGAGTTGAAGTTATGTTGAAAAATGCATTTCACTGGGCAGATGAAGAATTGAAACGGAAGCAACAGCGTAAAAAGCGAAAGTGGGAACAAAAGAAAAATGGAATGTGCAAAAGGCCTCGTCATTCATCAGAAATGGACTTCTTCATGTATACCTCTTCAAAAGAATTTGAAGATCCTTTGAACTTAAAATGTTTCTTTGAAAAACTGAACTCTGACAAAAGGCCCTAAAAAAGTGGCTGTTATAGAAGGTGGACAGTGTATGTAACCCATTTGAGATTTGTTTAACTGTTTCTCATTTATGGACTATTCTTAATATCTGTTGTGATACTGTGACTAAAACTGGCCACGAGACCTAAGTTTGTCTAGGCCTTGGTGAATTTGAGATTCATACTGTGAAGACTAATCATGGTTGTTCATTTCACTAGTAGGGCTGGTAATTTACCAGCTCTACTACTAGAGCTAGGTTATTCACACTGCCCAGATTATTAGTGCATATGCTGTAGAAAAAAGTCTTAAATAGTTTTATATTAAAGTTTCTAGGAATTGATACAAACTTAAGAGTTGTGAAGTTGAGTAAATATTTTTTTATTGTGTAAGTTACTTAAATTTTTATGACTAATAAAAGGTGCTTCAGCTCCCTTAGAAAATAATACTTGTATACAAGAGAAATTCAGAATCTTAAAATGAGACATCTGATATTTGTACATTTTATAACACAAGACCTTTAATAGATGATTTTGCATACACATATAAAAGAATGAATGCAAGATTTTGTGGTAACTTGAAGTTAGTAATCTTTTATCAAACATATTTTCCTTAAATTGATTTTAATACTTATTATTGTCCAGTATAGTAGGATTGGGGAAGCATGGTATGTTTTGGTTTTTCGAAGTCATTTGTAAATCCTGGAGTGAAAGTACAACTGATACTACTTTGCAAGCATCCATCATGATAGGTGTGACTTGTAAGTTGCTCCTTCAGCATGATTTTGTACAGATATTACTGCTTGAGCAAAATATTTTACTATTAAAAATCTTTGAGTCTTCACCTTTGACAAAGAAGTGCTCTAACAGATAGCCATTTTGGATACTTAAGTTGAATCATTTGTAAACTAAGATGAACTAATGAATTTTTGCTATGTGGTTTTAAACAATGAAATGTGTAATTTGTATATTAAGTTTCGTACAGTGTAAAAGTTCCACATCAGACACTTGTTTTTACTGGAATTTTTTATAGATAATCAACTTGTTTACAGAAATTATTTGTAATGGAAAATGTAGGAAAGATTTTTAAAGTAAGTTTAAATTAAATTTAACTTGCTTGAGTGTAACAAGTTTTATCATAAAGTTTTCAAATCAGTGGTTCAGTTGGGATCCAATTTATGCAGTCACCGAAATGAGAGAAGAAAAACTTTCTTGAAAGGTTTGTGATGTAATAACTTGTGTATCGTGTGCTGTACTTCATTCCAGTATAGAAAGTAACTAGGAAGTAAGCAGTGTAATAATTCTGTTCCATTGAAGATTAATGTCTTAACATTTAATGGAAGACAACTAATGAGTGGGCATATGAGTCTAGTGAAAAA